CACAAGTCACTAAGGGCAACAGAACGCTCAAAATTTTTTATAATCAATTTTCATATTAGTCACCCAAGTTGGAATTTAGGAGCCAAAACTTAGATTGTCTTGTGTATGTACACGTATACGTATGCGCTTTGTTTAATTTTTCCCCCTTTTTTTTTTTTTTTTAGTCTTGGTGACATGATGAATGGTGAATGACAGACTCATAGAACGATTGAGGTGGGAAGGGACCTCTGGAGGTCATTAGGTCCAACCCCCCGCTCAAGCTAGGGCCAGTTTCCCTGGACTGTGTCTGGATGGCTTTTAAATATCTCCAAGATTGGAGACTCCACAGCCTTTCTGGGCAACCCGTGCCTGTGCTTGGTCATCCTCACAGTAAAAAAAGTGTTTTCTGATGTTCAAAGGTCCCCTTCTGTGTGTCAATTTGTGCCCATTGACTCTGGTCCTGTGCCTGGGCACCACTGAAAAGAGCCTGGCTCTGTCCTCTTTGCACTCTCCCTTCAGTTATTTATACACATTGATAAGATCCCCCTGAGCCTCCCCAGGCTGAACAGTCACAGCTCTCTCAGCCTTTCCTCATAGAAGAGGCGCTCCTGTCCCTCAATCATATTTGCGGCCCTTTGCTGGACTGTCTCCAGTATGTCCATGTGTCTCTTGTACTGAGAAGTCCAGCACTGGACATAGCACTCCAGGTGTGGCCTCACCAGTGCTGAGTAGATGGGAAAGATCACCTTATTTACCTTGCTGCCAATGCTTTGCCTAATGCAGCCCAGGATACTGTTAGCCGCCTTTGCTGCAAGGGCACATTACTGGCTCATGTTCTACTTGGTGTCCACAAGGACTTCCAGTGCCTTTTCTGCCAAGCTGTTTTCCAGCTGGGTGGCCCTCACCATAGATTGGTTCCTGGGATTGTTCCTCCTCAGCTGCAGGATGTTGCACTTCTCCTTGTTGAACTTCATGAGGTTCCTGTTGGCCCACTTCTCCAGCCTGTCGAGGTCCCTCTGGATGGCAGCCTGGTGCCCTGGCACATCAGCTACTCCTCCCCATTTGTTGTTGTCTTGGTTTGGCTGAGATAGAAAGAAGCACAGGCCAGCCATGCTAGGCAGGCTGTAAGCAGTTTTGAGTCAGCCAGGGCAGCTGATCTTGTAGCTACAGGTGTAGCCTACACTGTAATGTCATGGTCATTATAAAGTGGGAACGTTTGCTGAGTAAGGAGATGTCCCGTGTGGTTCCTGCTGGAGCTCTGGCCGGGGTCCTGCTGGGGCTCTGGCTTGGATCCTGCTGGGGCTCTGGCTTCTCGCTGTTCTTGAGGACCGCTCTCTTGTTGATTGTGATGGCTGCATAGTTGTTTGGCTGAGTATAACTTTGTATACCTCTGTTGGTATTAGCACTGTTTCATTAAATCTGTTTTCACTTCAACCCATTGGTCTTCCCTCCTTTTCCTGATTCCTCTTCCTGGCTGGGGAGGGGTCATTGGGTGACAGAGCAACTGTTACAGTTTAGCCCTGGGTACAGGTTAAATGAGGACAGTTATCATCAGCAAACTTGTTGGTGGCACACTCTGCCCCAGATCCAGATCATTAATGAAGATGTTAAATGTGACTGAACCCAGTTTTGAGCCCTGGGGAACACCACTAGTTATTGGCCTCCAATTAGACTTCAGACCATTGATCACCACCCCCTGGGCCTGGCCCTTTAGCCAATTTTCAATCTACCTCGTTGTCTGCTTATCCAGCCCGTACACCAATAGCTCCTCTAGGAGGATTTAATGGGACACAGTGTCAAAGGTCTTAGTGAAGTCCAGGTAGACAATATCCACTGCTCTCCCTTCATCTACTAGGCCAGACATTTCATTCTAGAAGCTTATGAAGTTGATCAACTATGACTTCCCCTTAGTGAAGTCAGCCATGCTGACTACTCATGATGATTTTCTTGTCCTTAATGTGGCTTCCATGAATAGCTGCTCCATCACTATCTCAGGCATCTAGGTGTAGTTCCCTGGGTTCTCCTTCTTGCCCTTCTTGAAAAGAAGAGTGATATTTACTTTCCTCCAGTCTTTGGACACTTCTCTCAGTTACGACGATCAACCAAAGATTATTGAGAGTGTCCTTGCAGTGACATCTACCAGCTCCCTCAGCACTTCTGAGTGCATCCCATAAGGGCCTATGGACTTATGTATGTCCAGTTTGCTTAAGTATTCCCTGACCTGATCTTTTTCCACCAAGGGTACGTCTTCCTTGCTCCAGCCTTTCTGCCTTGTCTCGGAGACCTGGGATTCCTGAAGGCCAGTCTTGCTAGTAAATGCTGAGGCAAATAAGGCATTTGGTACCTCAGCCTTTTTTATTCTCTGTGTACTCAAGTCCCCTGTCTCCTTGAGCAAAGGGCCCACATTTTCCTTAGTGATCATTTTGTCACCTCTATACATATAGAAGCCCTTCTTGTTGTCTTTGTCCCTGGACAGATTCAATTTCATTTGGGGCTTAGCTTTCCTATCTTCACCTTTGGATACTCAGACAATGTTTCTGTATTCCTCCCAGGTTACCCATCCTTGCTTCCACCTTTCGTATGCTGCCTTTTTGTGTTTGAGTTTGGCTAGGAGGTATTTGTTCATCCATGCAGGCCTCCTGGCATTTTTGTCTGACTTCTTACTCATTGTGATGGAACACTCTTGAACTTGCAGGAGATGATCCTTGAATATTAAGCAGCTCTCTTAGGCGTCTTTTCTGTCCAGGGCCTTTACCCTTTATCTTCCAAGCAGACACCTGAGGAGGTCAAAGTCTGCTGTCCTCAAGTGAGAACTTGCTTTTCACCTTCCTTGTGCACTTAGGCTCCTGAACTCCACCACCTCATGCTCACTGTAGCCAAGCCTGCCTTTTACCTTCACATCCCCAACAAGCCCCTCCTTGTTGCTGAGTAGGTCCAGCAGAGTACCTTTCCTTCTTGTCTCCTCTATTCCTTGGAGGAATAAGTTGCTGACAATGGGATCTAGGAACCTTGTGGATTGCTTATGTCCTGCTGTGTTGTCCCTCTAGCAGGGATACTGGGGTGCTTGAACTCCCCCATGACAACTAGGTCCTATGAACATGAGGCTGCTCCTACCTGTTTGTAGAGGTCCTGATTCACTTCTTCTTCCTGGTCAGGTGGTTTAGAGCCACCCACTAGACACCCACTATAAAGTCACCTTAACCTGTCTTCTCTTTAATCCTAACCCATAAACTCTCAGTCGGCTCCTCATCCATCCCCAGGCAGAGCCCATGCACTCCAGCTGCTCTCGTATGTAAAGGACAACTCCCCCTCTCATCTTCCCTGCCTGTCCTTCCTAAGGAGCCTGTATTCCTCCACTGCAACACTCCAGTCACAAGAGCCATCCCACATCTCCATCACCCTTCTCCTCATACCCTTTCCCCTCACCAGCAGGTTTTGTTATTGTTCTCCAGACAAGAACCAATAAGAAATGCCGCATAAATGAAACTAATATGAGCATTGGCTATTGTTTCCCATTTTACCAGGCTACGTGTAAGTCTGCCTCTGACTAGCTGTGCCATTTTGTAATGCTCTGTTCTCATCCTTAAAGCTGTGGGCAACAAAAATCACTTCTCTAAAGATTAGAGGCATGCATTACTCTGACTGGAAAGCCTAGTCCTGAAAAGATATTGCTGCATGACTCATAAGTCATGTTATGTAGGACACGAGAAGAAGATATTAAAAGTGAAGGCCTCTTAGTTCAATTAAGCATAGACATTTCTCACATATTATATAGGATTTGTCAGGCTGGAGCACAGAAATGGTCCAATGATCACATATAAAATACCATGTAATACATAAGAAATAAATTCCTGTGAGTAGCCAGATCTGTCAAAGTTGTTACAGCTTGTTATAGCAAAGACAGGTAATGGCTTAAGAGTAGCAGAGGCATGCCTGAAAAGGTAAGAAAAGCACCTTGGGACTCTAGCACAGCACATAGCTCCTCTATTTGCAGCCACCCTCCCAAAACAGGTGACAAATGTTGAGACAGGAACAACAGGTCTCTTTTGGCAGTTTGCTGCCAAGCAAATTCCCTAATGAGTTACTTAAGTTGTAACCTAATTAACCACATCTTTTCCACCTTGTCTTCCCTCCCGTGCAATAGGGAATTGGGGATGGAAAGGTCATATTTCACCACTTGCCTTCGAGGCACTGCGGCCACCAGTACATCCTCCTGGCTGCTAACAGTGCAGTGCGAAGCCAGGAAGGGAGCAGGAGTAGCAGGAAGGTCAGATACATTGCCTGGCAAGAGACGCTGGGCCTCCCAAGAGACAAGGAAGACAGACTCACCTTTCCCAATTTATTCTTCAGCCATCTGTCACACCCTCAAAAGGCAACTGCACTGATACATCTCATACACAGACACATGCTTTGCTTTGGTCTACAGCTCTATACTGTTTAGTTTTGCTCTGGGTCTGTAGTTTAACACTCTGCCTCTTCATCACTCTGGCATGTAACTTCTTTGGGGACACACAGTCCACCTGGGGTACTATTTACTGGGCTTGTCACCTCTGGCCCGACAGCAAAGAATTATTCAATTCAGATTGCCTTGGCCCTACTCAAGCAGCCATGATTCTCCTATTCACTATCAGCTTTTCACTTTTTCTTGTTCTGATGACCTCACAAACAAAACAAGACACAGTGCCTCCAAAGGAAATAAAATCCTTGAGATTGAGTGAATTTCCTGCTCTTTATTTGTTTTATACTATGAAAAATGGACAAATTTGAGCACAGAAGAGAAAGGGTTAACAAAGTACCCAGGCTTATCTTTTCAAAGTGATTGGGCTGAGTGATAAGCTATATGCATTCAGACATGGAGGATCTGCCTAGACATATATTAATTTGCCTAAGTTGCTTACAAGCAACCAATCAAGCATGCAGGGTTAGATACTGCAATTAATTTCAGAAAAATGTAAGTATTCAGGGCATTCTCTCTTTCTCCTCTCCTTTCCCTCTTAAAAGCGCTATGTTAGTTACAGACTATGATTCATGTTTACACAGAACATACAAATGACCTTACCTAAAAATGCCAGTAATTTGCAAGATAGAAATCTTTGGATGAGATACAAGTAATATCTACCATTCAGAGTTCTGACCATTTTCCATCACCCAACAGCCTAGCAACATGCCATCCAGCTGGTTTTCATTAGTATGCTTGACTGACTGACATCCCACCTCTCCAAGATGCACAGTTGTTTTTGCACTCCCCAATTTGTTGCACTGAATAATAGTATCTATTAGAACAACAGATATTAGAAAATGCAGTTTAAATCTGCTTCCGCCAGAAATATTATCCATGTATTCAATATATTATCTTTCCTTAAACCACAGAGAGTCCAGTTTAATGTAAGTCTGCATAATCATTTCATCATACATAACTCATTTATATGATATCAGGATAGTAAATATTGTCAGAACGTACCTTCCGAGGGCCTGTGTTCTTCAGCTCAAAGACATCCATAGTGTAGTTGACTCTGCGACCATAGTGGTCAAACTGAACATTTCCTGTCAATCCTTGTATTCGAACCTACAAATGGAAGAAAAAGTGTCATGAAGATCCAGCCTTATGTTCTTTATTATAAATGTCACAGAGCAGCGAAAGTAATCCTGGCTATGCCCTTAGACTACCATAACAACACTGGAATAGACAGGCATTACAAAGAAAAAAGTTGGCTACTTTTCCTTTGTATGCTTTTTTCCTGTCAAACCATGCTCAAAATTGTCTTAGATATGCCAGTATCTAAGGGCTAACCAAGACACACAATGGACCTTCTCTTCTTTCCTGCTGTGCAGCTCAACACTTTTCAGCTGCAGGTGCTAAAGACAAGTACATTTTTTACCATTCTCATCACTGCTGCAGAAGATCTGGAATCACATGAAATAAACCTAAAGGATGTTTGGCCTGAGCTAATATATCTTTTTAGTTCACAATCTGGTGGATTAAATGTATAAATTGAATATATACTGCTCATCAAGGTAAACTTGACAACAACCTTGGCCCCAGCAAAGCAATTTACTATCACAGAAGATGGGTCGCATGCACAGGGCCTGAAAAGGATGTTTTCAAAGCCTCAGAGTGGAGAAGGATAGATGTAAAGCCATAAGATTGTCTGTGGTAGTTTTCCACCACCTGTGTCTCAGCTGAAGCCAGAACTCTTCCTTTTTCTTTGAGCACTCTACCGCCTCACTGAAGGATACCCAGACTGTGGTATTCATCTGAAAGAAGCCATGGCCGTATTGCTGCTGGCTTTGATTGTATCAGGATCCGGCCATGCAAACCTCTTTGGCCAGATTGGAAGGCTCATGCTGTCCGCCCTAACACAGAAGCCTGACTTCATGCTTCTCACAGTTGTTACAGAGCTGTGCATCTGCACAGACTATGTGAAGCGTACAAAATGCTTTATTTCTATTCCCTAAGAGTCAGGATGTGGATTTAAACCACTTACTCCTTCCCTCTGTCCACTTCTATCTCTGCCGATTTTTCTCCAAGACTGAAACCTTGGCTTCCAGGCACAGAGCTGCCAGCTCTGTCAGCAGTCACTTCTCCTCAGCAGTTTCTCCTGAGTGGAGCCTGCTCATTTGCAACAATTTAAATTCTACTACAGGATTTTTATTTTCTTACTGTCCCATTCAAAGGAAAGGCTAAATCATCTTGTCAGAGATCTGGAACTTTCTAGGCATCCATATTCATCAGGAATTCAAAATCCTGACATCAGAGAACAATAGCTCTGGGTTATTTCTTTTTAAAGAAAAAAATACTACCTACATGATTTCCCTGGGAGAAATCTACTTTTATTCAAGACGACAGAAACATATTTGAAAGGTTATATTACGCAGCTATACCTTTTTCCGTAAATGACAATATGTGTACACCCAGGTTATATGCAAAAGCAACAGATGAGCTTGCCAGTTCAGTGGAGGAAGTCGCAACTATGTTAATAGAACTAATAGAAGTTTCAAATAGTAGCAGTTCCGCTCTGCCTTCACTCCAAGATATAAATCAGAACAACCAGAACAGACCCAGCTGTTTTCAAATGGCAACTGAAAAATGAATTTCTCCTCTCCCATTACTACTGTTCTGTATAACAGCTTCCAAATCACACAGTGTACAACTAGTATCCAATATTCTCAAAGATCATTAGAATAAAGCCTACCCTTACCTGTTTTAATGTCCTCTCCATATCAATTCCTTGACCCCATGGGGCTGCAGGGTTAGCAAGACAATCACCAGCATTTCCTCTCCTTGAAATATCAATTTTCTGTCTTCTGAGATTACGGAAAGTTTCAGCCATCACAAGTACTCCGTCATATGTTAATGCAGATGTATACTAAATAGATGGACAAACATACCACTTTGGAGTTGTCATGTCTTTACAAAAATAATCTCTCTCAGATATTTCTGGTTTGATTCGTTATGCAGCAGTTTCTACATCTTCATTTAGAAGAAAACTCTCCTCAAAATCAAAAGCAATTTTGTCTAAGGAACAAATGCAGGACCGAGAAGAGTACATTTCAGTAGCTCCACCTTCAAAACTGTATTTCTTAGGGGCAGAGAAATCTGCCTCTGAAGAATTATTAAAAGAAACAAATTAAACTGGAGATATCCAAGTCTTAATTTTTTTTTCCAGTTGTCTTGTACATTAGGGAATAACACCACCCACCCAACTTACTCAAAAGAAAAGAAAGAAACAGTAACTCACTGAGAAAATGTAACTGAAAAAATCATGGATATCGAGCAGATATCCAGACTATTGGAATTGTTAAGAATGATTAAGGGTATGTTCTTCCTATTTGAAAACCATGCTGTCTCTCTGAACGACATAGAGCACTGAACAGTCTGTGTTTCCACAGTAACTACAGTAACTGCTTTAGGTTGAGAACATGCCAAATGAAAAGTGTAGAGCAAGTCTTCAACAGATGTTAGCATGGAGCCACACAAACCCAGCGGCATTTTCTCAGTGTGGTCCTCTGATGAACATACTGCACCAGGAAAAATTGTTCACATGCCTAGGGCTGCTACTGATACACCCTGTAACTTCCAAAATTTAAATTCACTTATTCAAATATAATTTCCTTTCATTCTTTTGTCTTGCATATTATAAACTCCTTGGGACACGGTTTATCTTTAGAATCTCAAATTTTGGTTATCCATAGGTGAATTATGTGCGACTCAGACTAATCATGCTGACTTCTCAGAAGGAGGCAGCACAACCCTGTTCATCTGGCAAGCAGTTCTATCAGCTAATTTCCTCCTGTCACCAGTACCTGGGGATGTCTGCACTCCATAGCCCACACCATCCTTGTTTTTTTTCATCCAGAACATAAATTTCTTGTATATTCACCGAATTATATAGCTATGCTTTGTATTATCCATGTTGATACTTTCTCTAGACTTTGCCAACCTACCTCTCTCCCAGTCAAGGGAGGGCTGATTGCTTATCTCTGCACAGTGCCCAGCACAAAGGAGCCCAGTTTCAACTAGGTCTGATACGCATTAGTACATATAATAACAGAACTATTTTGATGAAGTCATACCTATAGCTATACTGTGATTTGCCTGCCAAGAAAATTATAGGTAAGAGAAATATTCTGTTATCCATCTGTAAGGGATTAGGATAGAGGAACACTGAGATGTAATTTCACTGTAAGATCATGCCTGAAAGTGATTACTACACTAGGTTTCGAGGTGGATAGGATTTCCAGGGAAAACTCCAAATGAAAATTTAAGGGTAGTAAACTTACAATTGTGGTTATATCTCACAGACAGAAGAATGCAGCTGTCAGGAAAGCTCTGCACTCTAAGTGAATCTAGATAATTAGACCAATTCATGCACAATTGGTTGAAATTCAGTTGTCAGTTAAGCATTTGACCTTTAATTCCTGTCAGTAAAGGGGTGAAATTGGAGAATAAGTGACAAATGACATTAAAGTACATCAGTGAAATGTGTTGCAGTTTGTGTTTCTATCATACAATCATAAGGATAGGCGTAATTAGTTGCCAGTAATAGTAAGATCAACTGCCTTCTCTGCCTAAATATTAAGGTCTTCATTCATGTATTCCACAATGTTAATCAGAAATTAGAACACTTGAGTGATATCTTTGATAGTGCTTCATATCAACCAGTACCTTTGGTGGGGTCTCAGATCCTGGGTATTCTCTCTGGTCCAGCTTCTTCCAGCGCTGCATCAGCTTAGTTACCATTGGGGTACTGAAATCTACTAGCTGAAATCCAGTCACATTGGCTCCTCCATGCATAAATCTCTCCAGAGAAATATCTTTGAATCCCTAGAAAATCAATTTAAGATTTTGTATGTCCTTGTACAGCACTGCAGGTCCAATCTGTTCTAGGTCAGCAATGCAGCACAAAGAATGCACAGCAGCAGGTTTCCATTAGAAGTCAAGACTTAAAACCAGAGAATTACGTTAAACCTTTGTTGATGATTTCCATTTGTGTAATAAAGAATGAAACAAAACCAAGAAATAAATTTCCCACATTATTGCTAGGGTGGTCTTGACAGCTGAGCAACACATTGCTGGGAACAGCAGACAGTTTTTGAAGAAATGCCTTCGGCGCATCAGCTGAAGAGTGCCTGCAGAATATTAAAGCCCTAATCCAATTTCCATCAAAGTTGGCAGATTTGAATGAGCACTGTACTAGTGCTTTAACCAATATATCCCCGTTTCTTTGCATGTTTGCAAAATGAACAACACTATTCTGTAAATATATTTATTCCAGAATTCACTGTTTAGGCTGAAGGTGTCTGAGATAATGAGGTAATAAAACAGACATTAGGAGGCAGAGACAGTCCATGCAGATCTCACTGTTAGTGCAAGGAAAACCACATTAGAACCACACTTTTGTGAAATAGGATGGTGGTAGCTCTCAGATCTGCTATACATTGAATGACCCCCAACACTGAAAGAAAAAAATGAAGTACATATTCTTCCTGACTTAGTAGTTTCTCAGGCTAATCTGTTCAGCACTTAAAAAGACAGATTCTTTAGTAAAATTTGCCTTTAGAGACATAACTGAACTTCGAGAAACTGCATAATGCAAACTGCTAAAGCAAGCTAAGAAGCAAGCGTGAATCTTTCTGCTCCTTTCCTAGCTGCTATGTTTAATGCTAATTCAGAGGTATCTTACTTTTATTTTCTTAAATTCCTCTGATTGCCATTTATCAGTGCAAACAGAAGTGTATTCTCACACAACTTAAAAAAGAAAGATTTAGGAAGAAATAATTGTAGGGTACTGACCCAATATATTTGGGAAAAAAACTGTTAAGGACAGAGATTTGATTCATGTGCTAAAGGACACTGACAGTAAATAGAAAAGGTGACACATCAGGCAGTCACATTACCCAAATTATTGAACAGCCAGCAGATAGCAATGTGTGCCCCTGCTGAAGCAGATGAGTAGATGTGCCTGTCTCCACTGTATATCCCACTAGCAGTTCACTGCACTATCTGGTTCCTTGTTTACAGCAACTATTTTGCATGGGAAAAGTTACTTGGGGAACTATACATCTGTAATGCTGAAAATCTAATTTCTAAGACCTAAGAGAATAGACATGTCTCATTTAAAACACCTGAGGTCTTAAAAATAATCTGAAGTGATATTAAGGTACAAATACTGCAAAGCACAAGAAAATATTTCATGTCAACTAAAATTCCTCAAGGGAAGAGTAAAAAGAAAACAATTTAAAGCATACATTAGACTCTGTCCTACACTCACTGTGCTTGGCCAGGCAGGTATTTTTGCTTAAAGAACAGATAACTTTAATAATGAAATATTGCATTTACTCTTTCTGTGCCCTCTTCTGAACATTATCTGTGTGAATGTGTAGTTTAGACTTAGAGTGAAAACACTGAACTAGTAACTTGACTGGAAAAAGCTGATCTTACAGCAAAATGAATGTTCCCTGGAGAATGCAGAAAAGTTACCTCAAGAATTGTTATGTTAGTAATATTAAAAAGGTGAGTCAAATATCATAGTGTAGTTCTGTAAATTCTAATTCAGCCACAAGATACACTTAGCAGTCCTTTACGCTACATTGATTTTGATAAATTTAAGAGAGTAACATTGTGCCCTTCTGGTCTAGATGACTGTAACAACAAAACCAAGTTATTTTACGGGTCTCAAAGAATGTATTATGTGCAACCACATATTAGTGACAAATGGCAAATGTTGTGTGAAATGCTATAACTTACAAGTAAAACTGAGTGTTTCACTTACCGAGCAGGGGTATAATTCTAGAAAAGTATCTTACCAGGTTGGCAACAATATAATGGTATCCTTTAACATGCTTTCCCACACTCACGATCTGTGGGAGAGAAATAAGAAAGAAAAAAGAAAAAAAACAATGTCATACTGTTTTCTCTAGAAAGGTGTTTTCATAGCCAGATGGATATAAATTCTGAAATATATAACATCAGTAATATAAAGTTGAGAGTCTTTCTCCAGTAAGGTAGCTATAACTTTCCAGGTGCTTAATCATGGGAAAAAGTTAAAATGAAAGTGAGTAGAGTAATGAACTGGTAATCTGAGTGTCTTCCATATGATTGAAAATGTTACTGTAGTATACTATTCTATCAATTAGAGAAATTATCTATGGGATACGAGTTCAGAAGGAGGAGATCACACATTAGCTAGAAAGTCTGCCCACTGATGTACTTTTCATTTTAAGTAAGTGCAGAATTGATGAATTAACCTGGATTTTCATCTCTTGGGATCAAAGCTGTTTGTCCCTAAGGTAGTTGAGTACTACAACTGTTATTCAGCTCTCAGGAATATTCTAAAGACTTTGGGAACAGGCATGAGCAAGGACAGAGCATGAACAGACAGCAAGGCTGCATTTAAGTGTTTAACCAAAATATAACATCAAGTGATGCAAAAATGGAATGACCATGATGTGCAGCCGCTACAGTCCTGGTATGGCAAGATCAACAACAGGGCTTAGACAAAAGCTATGTCAACCTGGCCTCGTATCAATATTAATGCCATTACTATGATGGATTTCCTCTTATTTAATGTGCTGAAAATAAAATACGAGGAGAGAATATTTTGACAGTAGAAAATGGTGTTAGTTCCATTGCAGACTAAAGCTGTTTTTACTAAATAAACTAACAGTAATACCTGTAACATGCAGCTTGCATTTAATACCAGTAAAGAGTCCTTTTAACCCCTGACCCCAGCTATGACCAGATTGTCACCTTTCATATAAATGAATTGCTTATTTTGGACTCAGTCAAACTCCCACTAAGATCAGTGATTAAATACCCTTGCTACCATTTGCAGGGTGGCAGAGAGCGAGAGGGAGAAATCACACTTTTCCCTATCACCAACATAACACATGTGTCGAGGGTGCTCACAAGCCATCTTTTTGCACTGAATTAAAAGGGTCAAATCCCTGCAGGTTCAATGGCTTCAGTAGCCATGTTATCCCTGACACCAATAATGCTTTTCCATCTGTACTCCTTCAGCAATAAATGGTAACGAAAATGTTTGCCTCCCCATTACAGGGAAACTGATATAGCTTAAAAACTCACTTTTTAAAATAAGTACAGTATCATAGTTTGCATATAAGTGGACTGACAGGATATAAGACATACATGGCATGGTAACTGTGTACCAGATTCTCAGCTTGGGCAAATCATTGCAGCTCCCTTTGAGCTCTTGGAAGTTGACGTAGCTTTGGCAATTAACACTCTTAGTGATCTGTTCCCTGGTTTGGTTTTGTAACACGAATTGTGACGATCATTGCTGCGTATCAGTCAAATAAAACAAGCACATGATCAACCTGTAACCATTGAAGTACGTCAGATATGTGTCCATAGTTCTCACAGTCAAAGTAAGTAAATACTGCAAATGATTAATTTACAATTAAGATTGGCTTCTGTGCTTGTTCCTAGAAAATGCATGTAGATATTGCTGCAGAATTCCTGGATTTGATGTGAACAATACAGAATATTTTTGAAAAAAAATTTTGAATTTTTCAGTGTATTCTCTCAAAACTCATCTCTTAGGGAGAGTGATAAAGGTATGCATTAATGTATCATCTAGTTGCCTAACTTCCTTTACAGTCAGTGGAAAGAGCAGACACTTTGAGGAAGTGATTCATCTTATCCTAAAGCACATGTCTAAAATTAATTAGACAGCTTGTGCCCTGAAAGTGCATATTCTTCTGCACTGACTAGAAAAACAGTTGATGATGATTAGCTCTGATGTAGACACCTACATTTTACATCCCTAACATTAACTGAGCCAAATTTGACCCTAAGACTGTTGATCATGCAGACAGAAAAGGCATCAGAGATGCCAGCTAGGCATCAAAGACAGGCTTTGCCAGTCACATAAGCAGTGATACACCATGAAACTGTGTTCAGTTTTGGGCACCTCAGTACAAGAAAGACATTGAGGTGCTGGAGAGAGCGCAGAGAAGGACAACAAAGATGGTGAAAGGCCTAGAGAATAAGTCTTATGAAGAGCGGCTGAGGGAACTGGGGCTATTTAGTCTTAAGAAAAGGAGGCTGAGGGGAGACCTTGTTGCTCTCTACAGCTACCTGAGAGGACATTGTAGAGAGGTAGGTGCTGGTTGGGCTCTTCTCACAGGTAATTAATGATAGAACAAGAGGGAATGGACTCAAGCTGCACCAGGGTAGGTTTAGGCCTGACATTAGGAAAGAATTTTTCACTGAAGGGGTTGTCAGGCATTGGAATAGGCTGCCCAGGGAGGTGGTGGAGTCACCATCCCTTAATGTGTTTAAAGGTTGTTTAGATGTGGTGCTTGGAGATATGGTTTAGGGGTGTACTTGGTAGAGTAGGGTTGATGGTTGGACTTGATGATCTTAAAGGACTTTTGCAACCTGAATGATTCTATGATTCTATGAAACTGCTAATATGGTAGGTCAGGGTCATGGCAGGTCAAGGAGGACCCTCTGTGTGTGTAACTGTCCTTTTCATTGCTTTGGGATTCTTTGATTCAAAACTGTCCTAGCGCTGGCAACTTGAGTGAGTGGGATCAGATCCATTCCTCCCCGTCATGTAGTACTTCTTTACTTACACCTTCTAAACATTTATTTTTGCTCTGTACACCCACTCTGACTTCTCCTTAATTATTACACACAGTTGCATCTGGCTTTAGTTACAGTGAGAGTTTAAAGTGACCTCAGCTTGCTCAGGGAGATTTTTGGGAAGAAAGTGTTGGGAAGGGTGAACGGATTTGTGACCTCTTTGGCCAAGGATGAGAGCAGGGGAAAGCAGGATGCTGCACTGGCTTTTGTATATTGATTTCCATATTGTAATTCAATGACCAAGGTGGCTAGCACTTAGAATTGGAGCTCTTTTATACCCCTATTCATAAAACTGAAGAAAGTGTTAAATAAGCAACACTGTTCTGAAGAAGAAAGAATATGAAAATACAATCTGCTTCCCAAATTACTATTAACAGGAAAGACAACAAAAGCCATTCCATGTATTATCCAGTAGTCACACTATAACTGAATACTTTCTTTTGGTAAGTGCAACAGGATAGAATCAAAGAAAGTGAAATGTTAAGGCCATTAAGCTATCAAGGTTGTTTCAGAATCTAATGCAACTTTTTTTTTTTCCCAAATATCATTGTATATCTGAGTGTCTGCAGAAGGGCGAACTATGAAAAAAAATAATTTCAGCCTTAGGCTCTATTCATATTACTGAATGCATTTATGTATAAAAAACCTAAAAAGAACAGTATATTGTGATAATTTCTAGTTGCTGATCTACCATACTGCAATTAAGAAAACATCTTGTTCTGATTTCAGTGATTCCAATGACAGTCAAAAATAACTAGAATTATACCACTGACTTTAAAGTGTGGCAAAAGCAGAGCCAGTGAGATCTGAATCCAACTTAGGCTTTAAACACAACTCTGAACTTTCTGACTTTAACATACAATATTGTTCTTTCCATTTAGCTGAACAATAGCCTGGCCTAGGAAATTCAGAAACTATTCCACTATTGAAAAGAAGAGCTACCAGTTTTTGCTTTGATTCTTTTAGTTTTTTTCCCAAGGAGTGGCAAGTTCACTGACTTTAATAAAAACATTTCAAGACTTACATCAGCATCCGGACAGAGAATCAGGCCTCAAGTCATCCTCTGTTCTCTACTACCATGAAATGGATACTGCATATAACTCATTTTAAAAGAACGCTTAACTTCTATAGCATGAAATGTTCCTCATTATGATTTCCAGAAGATGGAGGTCAGTACAGCTGGAGTGAAAAGGACTTATTTTCAGTTAAATCTCTTCAAAGGGTGATAGCTGTGCACTACCAATGGGACTTTAACAAAGGTTTTCCTCTTTGCTATTGTGCCACAATTCCCTCCCTTAAGAAAAAGAACACCTGCAATAAAATGAAGTCTGTCTAACACAATATAAAAAGTGTGGAGACTTGTTAAAGACAGAAGATTGAGACCTGACCTGAAATACTGTGGCAGAAATGGCAATGATATACACCACAACTGAAATGGGATTTTATACAATATCTGAAGTGAGGATAAATCTTTTACAAAGCCATAAAAAAGCAATTGAGAAACAAGCTTAATTTTAACAGCTAGTGCTCGTGAAAGAGCACTGTTGTTGGGGAAAGGGTGGACTGTTAACAGCCTACAGCCACCCGAGAGGATGCTAAAGATGGCAACAAACAAAGCAGAAGCTGCTCCTTACAAATTTCTTTCTCTGTTGTGAAGGCAGGCACTGAGCTGGCACAGCGGTGCACACACCTGCCCAACGCATGGCCGAGCAGAGGGGAAGGATGCTTCCCACATAGTCCCCGTGCCCACGACCAGCTGGCAGGGCAGAGCCCTGCACAGCATGTCCAGCTGCCAGGGAAGAAAACCTGGAGAGGTGGCTCAAAGGCCATTAACCACTGACCTGAGCATGGCTGGTTGCTTTCTGCTGCTGCTAAAGTTATTTGCATTCAATGCCTACTCCTGTGAAAAGCTCACTCAGAGCTCAATGGGATATGCAGACTTGCAGGGAAAAAGGAGGCAAGGAAAGAGAGGAAGGGTGTAAGAAGAAGGTCACTTTATAAATCCCTCGAACCATTTGTATTCATCCTTTGTCTTCTACCACCTATTTGTTCTTTCAGTAAGTGAAATAACCTATTTCTCAGGTCCGAACTTCATCGGTTGTGTGGTGCAGTGACAAAATGTGTTTTTATTACTGTGCAGCGTGGGACTATTACTCTGTGCAAAATCCCAGCTGCTTCACAGAAAATGAATGTATGTAGAAAGCTTCTCCTGGCTCTGCAGGGTGAGGAAGATGCTGGTGTTGGTGCTGGC